CTCTTAACTTCCAAGGCTACAAGGAAAGACTGTAGCACCTTCACAAAATCCATCCACCCTTTCTGTAATCTCCCTTCCGGCACACATAGCATTTGTTTTCCATTTGTTCCAAAAAACTCCACCACAGAGATAAACCATCCCTTTCTGTTTCTTTTCAATTCTGTTGCATATTTCTTACCTAGAACTGACATTGAGTTTTTCATACAAGGTGGTGTTTAAAGGTAGAAGACAACTCTGTTTCACATCTTAAAAAAGGGTAAAGCTGTCTTTTTGTTCAAACCGTCACAGATAACAGTGGAAAGGTATATTTAAGTGTAATTGCAAAATTCAGGTATGTTTTAAGTAAAAAAACTCAGGGTATGTTTTAAGTCTTTTAGCGTAAGTATAATTCTCATGGATCAAGAAACATTGTTCATCAAAGAAAGCTGAGCTCCGGGCTTAACTTTTCTGAAAATTTTAATTCCCGCCCTTTTTTGTCTTTAGTCTTTGTTTGATGTGACTCTTCAGTTAAGGATGGCGGACTTAAACTGTTGTAATTAGGATTCTCTTTTAGGAGATGAACAACTATAGTTCTCCCTAATCCCTATCCGCGTTTGCTTCCAAAACCTAAGCAATTTAACAGGTAAACTGAAAAAAAGGGGAAACAGGTCTCTAATTGAAGCTTAATTTCATGTTCATCTTCATGTCAAAATATGGAACGCTCTAGAACGCATTTAAGCATCAAATAGGAACAAAAATCCAGAAACCTAGAAACAGCAAATGATAAAGAGAATAAACACAAAAATCTAAAGAATGGATTAGTGAGGGAAGAGGAGCGAAAAGAGAAGGCAAAAAACCCTTACCAGTGGAAGAAATTCCAGGACGATCTGTAGAACGCTTAAAGGGAATGGAGAGAACAAAAGAAATCAACGTTTCTGATAGCGGAATGCTGTCGTCGTTGTCATCGACAAGCGATGGTAGCAAGGAGTTGCCTCTCTCCCTCTCTCTCTCTCTCTCTGTTTTGAAAATATCAGCGAGAGGGAAGGTGCACTTACCGATAACCGACTTACCTGCATATTTGTTGACGTATTATACCGCTATTTATGGCTCATACTTAGTTCTATAAAATCACGAAGTGCTGAGGTTAAATTTGAGATTTGAAAATAAGACCTTTGGTAAAACTTTTACCAAAGCCGTAAAACAAAGGAGACCGGATCTGCCCTTCACACCTGGCGCCTCACACGCACATCCTATCATGTATTCGAAACATCTCCCGTATTTATGGAAAATATTCTCAATGCATGATGGACGTGCCTGTGAGGCGCTCATTTGTGAGGAACAGATCTCGCTTCAAAACGAGGAATTATATCAGTGTCCCACATTCACATCTCAGCGTACATTAAAAATATCTTCCGCATTTATCATTTGAAAGATGTTTCTAATATACGTGTGCTGTGGGGGCAGGAATGTAAACTCCAAATGGGCCAAGGTCCAAGTAGGAAGAGGACATCACGTAGTCAAGTGGGATGGAAGAAAATGATGAAAAGATACATTATCACGAATCTAGACGGAACTCACAGCCCCATTCCATCATTTATTAGAAACATCTTTTCATGAATAATAATCAAGTATAGGAAATATTTTCAATACACGGTGAGATGGGACTGTGAGGCCCGTGAGGTGTGCTTTGTATCCCAATTCCATTATCAACTTATATTTTTACTTATAAACCTAATTAATTAATTAGCTAATTGCTCAGCTGAGTATGAGAATTGAGAACAAATGGAAACTCTAAGCCATTTATTTGCTTTCACCAGATGTTTGCTGTTTGTGCAGCCCCACATATTTATAACTAAAGATTGGTGAGAAGTTAGTGTCTACGGATGAGGGGAAAATAAATATATTACATGCTAACAGGTTGCAAATGGATGCTTATAAACCTAATTAATTACTCTTGTATTTTTCTGTTTCTGCTAAGTGCAAATGGATGCTTCATGCTTCTTCTAGGCAGGCAAGTCTTCTTATTCCCTTAGGCTGTGTTTGGTTTGAAGGAAAAAGTAGAAAAAGGAAAGAAAAGGTAGGAAAACCTTTACAAACCTTGTATGTGTTTCCCTACCTTTTCCTTCCTTTCCCTACCTTTTCCTTCAAACCAAACATAACCTTAGGAATTCATTTCGACTGGATTGCTTCAACATGCTATGGAGAGAGAAAGAGAGAGAGGTGTTCCTGGGTTGAAACCGGAAAGGAATGCTTCGGGTAGCAAAACAAGGTCCTCTCCTCTCACAAACAAAATAGTCAGTTATGGTTTTGACTATGCAAATAACATACACCAACTCTAATCATAAGCATCACTTTCAGTTTCAGCCCACAGCAGACAGCACCAGTCACACACACTGAGGCCGGCCGAGTCCACGTTCTTTATAATATAACCAATTAACCGCCACCACTACATGCCATAACCATAGAACACTCAGTGACTCAATATAACACCTTTCCCACTCTGTGTCTCTGTCAGAGAAAGATAGAGCACGGCTGACGTATGCCTCGGCCAACACATCTCCCCAGGGGAGGGGTGGCAGTTTTGCTTTGGAATGAGAAAAGTATAAAGGAAACATATGTAGAGAAAAATAAAGGAGACTTCCATCACCTCCACCATTGAAGCCTGATGAAAGGGCTACTTGATAGTTGATACTCTGCCTACTATCTGTGTGAGAGACACAGCAACTTTTTTTTTCAAAATTGGCTTTAGAGATTTTGGCTTGCATGGAAGAAAATGGAATATCACCAAATAAGACTAAAGGTCAGACAGGATGGTAAGGATGGAGAGGAAGAGGGCTGCTGCAGAGGCTTTTAACTTTTGATTGGAACTTCCAAATTTTTCTTATGGAAGTGAATGGCCGCTTGAGCTAATTGATGCCATTTTATTCATGAATAAAAAGAAATAAAGAATATATGGAAGATGCAAATGTATTAGCTTTGACCACATAATTTCATTGCACCGTGCTTTGTATCACAACCGTGGGATTGCAGGGCAAAAGATGTCTAGAACTTAAATTCCAACTGCAACATTATTCTTTATACATTCAGGTTCCTCACTAATGATCCCATGAAAAAACCTGCAATGCTTATCAAAAAGGGAACCTCAAAATAATAGAATAAGAAAACAAGCCACCGGTGGAACTTGGTAGAAAATGGATCTTGATGTAACCATACTATTTACTGTATACATATAATACAAAACCGGTAGTGTTTGCCTATATATGTGTGAGGATATCTAGAACAAGGTTCCTGTCACAATGCTGTCCAACTTCAGCACCTGGACCTCGACGATTGACTCCGAGAGTAAGATGATGATAATACCTGCATGCAAGATATTTCTGAGGTACTCAATGGAACAAGGTTGCATGAACCACAAGGTACCATAAAAACTCTGATGGCACCAATGATTCAGGAAATGGATCTAGCTTAGCTAATCATAAATATTAGATATGATTTGATGAACATAATGTATCAGCAGATTAAAAGTATTGTCGTTGTTATCAAGTATCTTTCTAGGACAATAACCAAGATGTTCACCTAGGGGTAAAGAACAGCAGTTGATTATGTTAACAAATTGAAGCAACCAGTGCTAGATTTTGTTTTCAAACTAGACAGACAAGGGGTTTTCGATTCATATCTTGTAGAAAAGCCTAGGCCTAGGGTAGCCCCAAGCTGCTTGAATGTGGTAAAGAACTGTAGGATCACTTCTCTAGATCTCCGTTCAAACCATCAACTATGCCATTATGGATTTCCCAATCCAGCATACTTTTCTCCAAACAAATATGCTAATCAAAAGAAGATAAGAAGGGAAAAAAGAAAAAGAGACAACAATAAACAGGTGATGGCATTTTTTAATTTTTAAGCTCAACTGTGAAATTTGGTCCCAAGTGAGATATGATCAAGTGAAACGCCAGAACTTCAAATAGAGCAACAACTGTGACATTAGCCCTAAAGAGCTGCTTTCAAAAGGCATGTAGGAATCTTGACTAGAAGACATGCACTATCACCAAAGGCACCTCTGAGGTGATTGTATAAAAAATTTTCTTTTTTATCACTTAGGATATTATTGCTATCAGTTAAATTTTCATTTGATGTTCCTTTTCTAGGCAATAGTATTTTTTAACTTATACAATTCATATAAGATTGCAAACATACAATGATATCACTCTGGTTAATAACATCTGGATTTCAGAGGCATAGTACCTGATATGTTTTTGGTCCTTTCTTAAGAAGATAACCAACACTGTTCAAGTTTTCCACAAATGTATCAATATCTGAAACTCTTAGGCCAATTCTATCTGCCAAACTGTATATTTCCTGATATGCAATAATAGCATGTCACTTATTTGATATCAAGGGGGAAAGGCAACCAGAATAAACTAACTAGCTAGGATGCTTACAGAAATCAAAAAGCAATCCTTTTGCTGCAACTCTGATTGCTTATTGAGAGCACTGAGAAATCGTTTTGCTTCCTTCTGTTGACTCATTCCACTACTCCGACCAAAGTCTACAACACCATGTTCATCTACATACTTATCATACAAGGATTCCTTCATAATTTCAACCACATCCTGCATAAAGATATGAAACTAAATGAGGGAATAATCAAGAAATGAGTAAATAAAAAAAAATAAAGAAAATTTTATGACCAAATTAACTGATTGTTCTACACTTTCAAAATAGCCCATGAAATAGGCAAATATCAATGGCCAAATTCATAGCTGGACAAACAATGCTGATTGTTGCACCGTAATAGTTGCAGGTTCAATGCCAGTTCAAGAAAAAAAAAATGAACTATAACACCCTTAAGAGAAAATTTGTAGATCCAACAAAGTCATGCATGCAGTACTGCAGTCTATATCCTCCAGCATATCAACCAGGTATTTTGCATTCACCGAAATGGTAGAGGTGGATGAACTGAAAAAGCTAACTACAAACCAGTATTCCAAAAAAGTGCATTTGCCTTTAGGGCTCAACCTTGAGGCTTATGCCTGAAAGTAACAACGAACATTCCTCAAATGTATATGTATATGTATACATGTATTGTGGATGTGGATATAGTCATATACATATAGACTTTGAAAAAACATGTAGATATAGATAAATATGTAGATATGGATGTGATGTAACCTGCTTTGATACCAAATTGATGTAGGATCTGAATGAGCAAAATACCCCAACTGTCTGAAAATTCAAAACATCCCCTATTTGATCACTTGACTTCATTAATTTTATATATATGAATATGGATACACATGTTTTGAGGTATTACTTTGACATTTTAGACTTTATAATAGTTATTAAATGATTTGTAAGGAAGTGATGGCTTTTTCCAGAGGTCCAACTCTTAAATTATTATTTATGTGATCAGTTATTCATTATATGCTTTCCTACATAAAAATATGAACCCCATGTTTATTTCTTAACTTCTCATTTTATTTGATGTTTTTATTAAACATGCAGCAACTCAAGAGGCTCAACCCTCATGCTTGAGGCTTACTGCTCGTGAATCTAGAGTCTTGGCACCTTGCCTCATTTATCTCATGCATCTACATTTTTAGACATTGCTGCTTACAAGTTTTTCCCCTTTCATAAAATCTAAAATAGTAATTGTATTGGGTTTTTATATCTTGAAAAATATGAGTTGCCCATAGAAAAGTTTTGGCTTGAAATTTAGTTGGTTTCTCATTTGCAGATTCGAGTACATAAATTTTTGCTTGGAATATAGGAACAGTAGTGTTGGGAAACAAAAGATCATTTACCCAATGCTGGTTCCAGCTGTCTGTCTAGGGTCTTGGGAGGAGTAAACTGGACACAGACCTAACCTCCAGCATTTTTAGCAAGAAATGGCCATCACATACTCAAACCTGTATTTTCACACTTGTCAGCTTGAGATTCTACCATTGCACCAAACAATAGTGTTGGGCAGTCAAGACCTAAAACGGGCACAGTGGTGGTAAGTTGATATCGGGAAGTGGCAAGGATATGATGGACAAAATTATATACAAGCACATTTTTGAGAAACTATTATCCTTAAAACTTAAAAGAGATTAGATGAGGGAAAATAGAGTAAGATGTTTTGCTCACATGAATAAAAGACCCCCTGTAGCACCCAATAAGCACTCTAATGCATGTTGATGGTTCTAAAAGCATCTAGGAAAGGCAAAAAGAAAGGACATGGGTTGGAGTGGTCATAAAATCTCTAGATAATCATAACTTAATAGAAGATATTATGGCCCTTGAGAATTAAGTGCTGCAGAAGAGCATTTGTGCATTTTGATTTTCCCTTTTTCCAAACTTGACCATAGATGATACAATCTCACACCTCAGGTCTTCTTCTTTTCAACTTAGATAAACCAAGTTAGAAGAATTAGCTATGATGATAGGGGCTTATGACCGGTAATAAGTAACTAACATTTCTGTATGCACTGAATACTAAGAAGCCGGCTCCGCTAAATGAACTCACCAAAGCATCTTGAGCTGTTATTTCTTCCCTCAATTCCACTCGAGCTCGGGCTTCTGCCAATCTTACAAGACTCTCCAGCTGCCTTGCTGTTATTGGTGTACCATCAGCTGAAGTATTACGGTCTCTCAATCTTAAGTAGAATTCCTGTAAAATTTCTGCTGCAGATCTTGACATCCTGATACAACACAAAGATCAAATAAGATCATAGAATGTCTAAAATAAGTCAAGGAGAAGATATTTTACAGTGAATGCATAAATTCAAAGCACCTGGGAAAGACAAAAGATCTTGCATAAGCAATAAATTTGCGAAGAAGAGGACCAGGCAACGAAACAAAATCTCTATCTTTCTTTGGGTCAAGTCTCAATCTTGAGGTTAAAGAACCAGCTCTTACACTCAAACCTATTCCTCCATCATTTTGCAAGGCTGCAAAGATTAAGAAAATGCATATATTGTCAAGCAGCAATTTCGTTCACATGTTTGATGCACATATATGTAGTAACACCACCTCTGCTGCATTGTTTTTTGGCTGCTGGTGAATGCTCCCCATTTCCTGCATGCAGCTGCATGAGAATAGCTATGCTTAGTACATTATATATCCTTTAACATAATTACACACAAGCAAATTTTTTGCCAGGAAATCTGCAGTCTAACCAGGCCCACATATGCTGTAAAATTGACACATACTAACAGAGTCCAGGTTTACCATTTAATGGCCTTAACTGGGAGTTCTCCCATTAAATAGTTGGCATGATTGATAGGGGTGCAACTCGGGTTGGCCCAAGTTAGCATTTTACACTACTTCTCAGGCCAGGCCCATTCAAATTTTGACAAAAGCCCAACCAAGCCCATACAAGTTGCACCCCCTAATTATTGATTGCCTGCCGCTAATGATATTATAATCCATCACATTCAATATTTTGAGTTTTCATTGAAAGTTTGAAATTTTGAAACTTTGGTTCCATTGGGAACAAATTTAAAATTCCTATACTTTGAGAGTTTGACCAAGTCACCAAGTTCCACCAAAATCTCATCAATAGCAATGTTAACAAATGCAATTTACAAGAGCAATCTGAATCATGGATCATATGAGCTCCAACCTGAATCTTATCATCAAATCATGTCTGAGAAAGTATATTATTACTTGAGTTGTATGATATGATTCTGAATTTTATGATATACCCAATTCATGCAATTTGAATTATATTGGCACAGACCAAGTCCAATATGATATCATTTCCTTTTTTTTTTCAAGTTTCTTTTTTAAGGAGTTATGTTTCATGTTTGAATCCTCTGATTGAACTATAGGAGTTGAGTTGTTTAAAACCTATTCAGGGGCCTTTCAGAATCCAATTTTTGTAAACTAGTATATAGAACAGGAGATGGAAGGGGTAAAGACATTGGGTGGGGATTACTGGATGGGGATGTAGACAGAGTTTTGCGATGTCAAATAGTTTCTGAACTTGCAAATCTGGCCCACTTTGAAGTTTTGAACTTGGTTTTAATAGTGGTAAAATATGGAAAAACATTAGTATTATGAGTTGGGCTCCACTGGGGAAAAAAAAATAAATCCTTTGACTTAATAGTAGTATACATATGTCAGTTAAACTGTTAAAGTACCACTAAGTGTATAAATTAATTGATTTTGAAGTTAAACCTGATCATATCATCTACCATTTACATGTTGCAAATTTAGTGGCACCAATTACATCTATGATGGATATGGATTGACAATGCATTAAAATAAAGACAATTCAATTCAGCCTTAATTCCAACTATTTGGTGTCAGCTGTAAAAATCCTGTCAACCCAAAAGGTGTTCACTGTATCTGTATCTTTTATCTTTTTTAATGGAGTTTCTTTGTATTCACTAAAAAAGAAACAATCTGACAATTTACCACACAGTTCATAATTCAATTCAATTCAGCCTGTTACTACAGTTGTGACAAAATTATGATTTACAGAATATTGGTCCATAGTATTTCAATGAACTGTTGAGGGAAAAAAGAACAGTCTCATGATTATATTCAAGATTCATCAGTTACAAAATTTTCAATCTCCAATTTGATTGAAAATGTGGTTACAGTGGCCTTGACCGTATTCATTCAGATGTTTAATTAGACTGATTGTTAAAATATCCATCCCATTCAATCTTTCTGAAGACTCTGGCTCTCCCTACATGTTGCCATGTCTATTCATATGCAGGTCCAGACTGTGCTTAGACAATGCAGATGGCCTGACATGGGTGGCATGGCATAAATATGCAGAAGAATACAATAAATTATTAGGATATCATGGTGCATGCAGTTTTACCATACCATCTACCTTTAAATTACATAAGCACATAGTGTGCACCCATATTAATTGGTTGTACATGGTAACTTACTGACATAATGTGTTCAGATACTCGCTTATCCAGAAGTTCATTAGGTCTATCTAGTAAAATGAAGACCAAATCAAATCGTGAAAGGAGAGCAGCGCTCATTTTCAAATTCTCATTGACAGTTTTTGCACGGCTGCAAGAATTTCAGGCACAAATTGTTAAACAAGTTAATAACAAATAAAAGGAAAACCTAAATGGATAAAGGCAATACTTCATTACTAGAGAACCAGACTAGTCAGATTTAACTATAGATATCCAATAGAAATTGATCTGATTGAATTTCATTTCTCTCCTTGAACATATAAAAAAAAAACATTGGATTTTTGAAAAAGATCCCTGCTTTTTTTGAATATTTTCCATAAAATTTGAAACTGAAGGATCACTCTTACATGTCACAATCACAAAGATCAAATCAGGGTAATCCAATAGAAAAGAATAAATCATAGGCCACAATAATGATCATATGAAGTCAAAGTAAAAGCCTATAACTCAATAATCCCAAAAAAATGTCCTGTTGCTAACATATGAACCTGTGCTGTAATATGATCCAAGAAGAAAAAATCAATGAGAAAAGACTACTATGAGATCGGTCAATATCATGATAATCAAAAAAAAAGATATCATGATAGACTACATAAAGAAAATAAGTTTAAGGAATATCACAAAAGTTCACTGAAGTGATTAACAAAATATTACTTATAATGACCCCCAACAGGGTTTGCTGCTGCCAGCACAGAAGTTCGCGCTGATAAACTTGCTACCAGTCCAGCCTTTGCAACAGAGACACATTGCTGCTCCATTGCTTCTAGTAGAGCCTAAGATTAGCCCCCAAAAATAGTAAAAACCAACATCTTGAATACCAGAATACAAAAGAGTTTTGTGGATAATAAACAAAGATAAACCTGATGCTCAGCAGACATTTTATCAAATTCATCAATACAGCATAATCCACGGTCTGCAAGCACCATGGCACCTGTTTGAAAATAATATCATGTGACTTTTGCAGATAAACATTAAATAAATACTTAATATGAAAGAGTGGAGAACCTTTACAGATTTTACACTGCAATTGCCATATATAAGTCAGCTTATTTGTGTCAAGTCAAAAATGAAAAAGCATAATAGCTTCCAGACATTCCCAACATGGAAAATATATCCATCTCTATCCTTTTCTATAGATCTTTTTATCGGCAAGAAAATTTTAATTTTTTAAATTAAAGAGAGAATTTAGTACAAAGTGAAGAAAAGACTGCCAGCCCAAACAAAAGACAATTACAGTGAAGCCCAAAAAAAGTTGCTGTCTCATGACCCCCAATTTAGCAAGGGTATCAGCCATCCCATTTGCAGTCCTTCTAACCCACTTGAATTCTACATTTAATTCCTTGGAAATACTTTCCACTTCCCTAAAGGCATGCCTGAAAGTCTATGGAATGTGACTGCTACATCATACCCATGAAATAACTATTTTAGAATCCTTCCACCTCCACCTGCCGATATCCCAGTTGTTTAGCCAAACAAAGTCCTTCCAACAAAACACACAATTCTGCTTTCAGAGAGTTTCCAACTCCAATAGGTCCTGAATATAAGGCCACCACCTTGCCTTCTAAATTTCTGAAGACACCGCCTATTCCTGCGAAACCCGGATTGCCCAGTGAGCTTCCATCAAAATTCAGTTTAAACTTGGTACCTTCTGCAGGTTTCCAAACCATGATAATTTTGTCTTTTTCTCAAGATAACAATGCCACACGCAGCCAAGTTCTTAATATTTCATTCACTGAGAAGACCTGAAAGCTTTCCACCAACTTTACCCAATGTGCAACCCTAATCTTTATGCTGTCAATTACCTCTTCCATTGATCTACTTTTTTTTCGTTGAATATTCTCCCACTTCTCTCTTCCCAAATTACTACTGCATTTACTGATCTCCACATAATTCTCCTTCTATTCTTCGGTTGTCTCAAGAAGTTAGCATTGAAGATACTAACCGCATTTTGAGGGGGATCCCACCTGCAACTAAAGAGAAAACAAAAATACTCCCAAATGCAGTGCATAAAAGAACAGGAGAATAAATGGGATAAAACCTACTCATCACCTAGACGACAACCACCTTATTGGGACAAAATGCATTGGTATTGCCTAGCCATCTTGATTACACTAGATGAAAGACTAGAACATCATAAACCAACAAAAAAATTGAAGAAATAAAAATGAAATAAGTTAAGATCCCTGTATACCAGCCTCAAATGCATAATCGTTTGTCATTGGATCCTTCACAACAGCCACTGTAAGGCCAGCATTTGTTGTAGCATTACCACAAACATAGATGCCTCTTGGAGAAACAGCTGCTGCTGCTTGAAGAAGTTGGCTCTTACCTAATCCAGGATCACCTGGCAGCATAAAATTCAGCATTTATCATGATTATTATTTCATTTGCAATTGACAAAAAAATAAAAAATGCATAATAATCTAAGACAAAAACCAAACAAATTCATTTGGAAGTTAAGCCCATTTGAGAAAAAAGGAACATTCGTTATATCTACCAACAATAATTAGATGGATGTCTCCTCTCACTGGGACTTTGTTCTTATCCGACGAATACTTTTGTACACCTCCAAACAGGGCTAGTGTTATCCCCGCTGTTGAAGAAATGTCAGAAAGACAGGATATTAGCACCACCCTTTCAAGAATCAGGTTGTCCAAGTAATAACCAACATGTTATATAAAACCAGAAAAAGTAGAGCACGTTCTAGAGTCTAGACTAATAAAAGTCATATACTTGACCTTCACTTCTTTCAAAAAAAAAGAAAAAGAAAAAGATATAAAGAGGAAACAAATACCACCAGTCAACCACCCACTACACCTAGTATTGTTACATTGGAATCTCATCAAATATAAAAGAAGGTATTGTGTACAAAGGCCACCTTTAACAAGCTCGTGCCCATAAATAGAGGGACAAATAGATTGAAGTATTTGACGGAATATATCTGAACCATGCTCCTCTGAGAACTTAACAATAAATTCCAAATCCCTTTGAGAAAATGAATACAAATCAAGCATCTCTGTCGTTCTAATGTTAGCACTGGTATCTTGCAAATCTTCAGATACAGACTGGGATTTGGAGTTTATAATTGAAACTGCCTCTAGATACAAATAATATAGTCCTTGATTCTTGCTTTTTGATTTTCCTGAAAAAGCCAAACTTCTCTTTTAGTCCACATTTTGTATTCAGTTGTGAGGAATAGTTTCACTGCTACAAGCTACACCATAGAAATATGATTATATGAACACTTTTCCATTTATTACCAACAAAATATCCACATCCATCATGCAAGAAGATCACAGTACAAACATCCAACTAAATGTTATGCAAATTGAGAGTGGACATGGAATAAAAATCTTGCCAAAATTTATCAAACATATAGCATATAAGGACTTATTAATTTAATACAATTTAGCAGTGTTAAAACTAGGGTCATTACTTGGTGTAATGGTAAAATTTCAGGCTGACAAGCATGAGGACATTGATTCAAATCTGAGAGCAGCCACTTTGTGCAAAAAAATGCCAAAGATTAGGTCTTATCCAGTCCACCCTTCCCAATAACCCAAATAGCTGGGAGGAACATTGGGTAATGGTAGAGCCAATAGCTGGGAGTTACATTGGGAGACTCATTACCCAATATCTGGGAGTAACATTGGGTAACAAAGTCTACCATAAATGAGTCAATATCAAGTCAGGCACGGGTACACCAAGCATGTGAAGTTGTATACAGGTATCTAGGTTCATAAAACACTATTTGGAGAGCACAAAGTGCTAACCTCACTTAGTCTCCATTTAGTGTTAAAATGTTGCTAAAATGGGTGTTTTGGTAATTTTCAATGGCTACAGACCTACACTGCCCAAGTATTGGTGTGAGGGAAACTGGAAATGTGACTTTGGCTAGCATTTCTCATTCTCACTTTAGCAGTGGGCAACATGAAGTGTAACAATATTTTCTCCTGCATTTAGTGTATTAATATAAAGGTGCATTCAACCAATTCTCCATAACTATTCACACTTCCTCAGACATTATATCTTCTGGTCCTTATGTACTGACCTTTGTACTTGTTTCTGATCCAGAAAAAAATTATCATGCATAGCTGGAAAAGTAAATAATATTAAAATAGTTCTTATTTTTTTGAATTCTAACATTATATAACTACAAAAAAAATTAAAATGTTGCCTCTGTTACCAACACTCCATCTTGTGCATTAGTTGTTCATTTATGTCAAATAAGCTAGGAGATAAAAAGGAAATGTTATGTAGAAGTGTCCTCAAGAATCCATGGAGTGTTGGACTCTGACACAAGATAACATGATATTATCTGTTTAAGAGAGTCCATGCAACACTGCAAGCAGCTAGTGTGATTTTTTTTGGGCCCTTTTTTTATGAGTAACTGTAAAATTTTATTAAGAAAAGCTCAGAATACAACTGAGTTATAGTGACGCCTTGCTTAGTTAGAGTGTCAGTCACCCCATGGGACTAGGCCTTTATGAAGGTAGAGAGGCAATAAGCCCACATGTACAAGGGGGGATGGTTTTGTGATTTTGGTCAGGGTTCATTCTATTTTAGAATTAGGATCAAAGATCAGTCATATTGTTGTTGCTTCTTTAGTGGCAGTTTTGCTATCTAAGATTCTATCTGCAAAAACTAGGGCTCCAAGTATTCAAAAGGTCTTTATTTTAAAAGTTAATAGACCACAAAGGTGTAAAATACATAAGAACATATATAAAAAAAAGTAACCAAAAAAGTAAACTTATAAAAGGCACGTGCCTGGCCTAGGTGCAAGGGGCACCAGCCACCAGCTACGCATCTTTAGAAATGGGCATCACCAGGGTTTAAACAGGGCTCATGCCTGCCTTGCCAGTGAGCCTATGGAAGCTTTAAAACACAGTATCCATCAAATGAAAAATTGAAGTATTACAAAAGATCTTCAATTAGTTTTAGCCATACCTCCTCCGACATCCATGTAGTTGTTTATTACTTTTATAATTCCAGTGACAGTCACCACATCTCCAGGGATGCAAGCATCAACAAGATCTTCAGTTAGTTCACACTCTACAGTTCGAGGTACCCGTCCCTCCTCATGATGTTCTGACTTCAGCAACTCCTGAATCCTGAAAAAGAAGATGCAAATAGACTAATGCTCCAAGAGACAATAAAGGAAAATGAAGAAACAATTCAGTTGAAAAGAAGTTGCAGAGGATGCCTTATTTTCTGGAAATCTATGGTTCTAGCTGTAGATCTCATTGGATTAAAAGTTCTGCTCTTGCATCCATGGAAAGTACAAACAGCTGGCGGTGAGTATTTCCCATCAGGAAAGGTGCGCGTAATGTCTGCTCCACACTTTGCACAAGTAAAATTCATTTGCACCACTAAAGGCCTAACCATGCTAACTTTGATGACAGTACCACGTACCGATACAAGTTTGCCTGTTACATTACTGATGTCGTTTGTTCTGCTTCCTTAAATAACTCCCCTATAAATGCATAAAAGACGGTAATCAAGATAAGAGATTACCAATATAGGCAGCTTTTAAGTTCTTCAAAGCAATCATTGATTCTGGGTAGTTATGCGGCCGAATGTTTATCTTCACATCGTACTCCATTTGACTCTTCTCCAACTTGGGCAACAGAATCTACTACAATGTAAGGTATTTTATCCCGGACTTGCATATCATTTCAAGAATTAGAAACTTCAGGGAAGTAGTAATGTAGTGTAGCTTCAACTCAGTACCTTGTGAACTGCAACAGCCATGCACAAAAAGACTTCTTTCGGTGTTGCTTCTAGGGACGATAAGATATTTTCAACTTCGCATGTTTTTCTGAAATGTTGGAGGTCAATCGGAAAAATGAAGGTGCCATCGTCATCCCTAACCTAAGAATCATGTTACTTAAACATCAACTAATCCCTCCAGTCACCCAAAAAAAATAGAAATGCAATATTAATTCAATTGTCGATCTCACTCTTTTCTTCGCCTTTTAGGGGTTCAAAATTTTAAAATCCAAACTCAGTAGAATTGAAAATATCGTCTTTTCGTATCAATTGAATATAAACATCTGCAATGAAATCTCGAGATGAAAGATATAACAAAGTCCATGGACCCTAAAAGTTGTACTTGGAGCTGTAAACAAACCGATAATGAAGGATTTAGTTGTACCTGAGAAATGAGAACTTCTCCTATTGGGGTAGAGAAGAATTGGGCGAGTCCTACTGTGAGCTTGAACAAACGATCGTCGAGCGGCAAAGAGGAGTCGTGTTCGTGAAAATAAATCGGCCAGATCTTCACGATGTCGCCGGCGTCCATCGAGCGAGCGTGAACGCCCTCCGCCTCCGTTACGTACATTTCGATCGGATGCCGGAACAGCTAACGTGCATTTCTTCAAAATCAAAATGCCTGCGTTCGTTGCGCGGGAAGAGGACGGCAATAAGAAAATATACAACAGGAGAAACAAGAGAGCAGAGCAGGCAAACGTTTGGACTCCGGTTCAATTTTGAGTTGAGTCTTTCCTGTATACCAGATAGATAGATAGATAAATGAAATTGACTAAGATAGTGTTTGAGAATACTTAAAAGAAGTATTTTTTTTAAGAGTTGGGCTGATTTTGTACTTTTGTAATTTTGTACTTCTTTAAAAAAATTAATTTAATTTGGCTTACTTCGCAAAAAAATGAGACGAATCAGTCTCTAATAATTTTTTGTAATGCCTAAAATACCCCAAGAGGGTTCTGTACTTATATCTCCTTCTCCATTCATTTGAACATCTCTACTACCGGGTAGCGGTGCACTAGTTGCAGGTTCACCAGTGACCATCATCGTTCTTGTTCAATGTCGCCACTCACCATTGTCACCGAGTCCTTGTTGTCTGAAAGCCCAGAGTACAACTTGGCTTCTCCTCAAGATTTCATCCTCGTTAACAGAAACCCTTTCAGTCTCATCTGAAATTACGTTGAGGTTTTGAAAATTGGAATCTGGATCGAAGGAATCAAGATTACGACGTACCTGTTGTTCGTCAATGAGTTTCTTTCTCAACGAGTTCCGCTTATTCGAATGTCGTCGAACATGCACAAAAACAAGCAACTTCCAGCCATTAACAAAGAAGTGAGAATGGCCGAAAAATGAGATTTTAAGAAATAAATTTAAGGAACCTTGCTGCTCCTCAATTGGGCATTGGTGTAGTGGCATGGAAATAAAAACTTAGGCATGGAAACCGAAATTCCGTATAGTTTTTGGAGGATTGGCGCATTGAGAACCTCTATGGGAGAGAACACATAAGGAAATGGAGCTTAGCGAACGACAGAGATGATGAACCGTCATCATTGATTCTATGTCGTGAGGAAGATCATGAACAATTGATTTTGAGGGGATCTAAAGAAGAAAAGGAAGAAGAATTATGAGATGGAGAGGGAGGCCGGAGTATTTATTATTTATTATGGTTATTTATATTTATTATTATTATTATTATTATTATTATTATTGGGTCCACATGGACTCTCAATTAAAATGTATAACGTAGCATGTGAAAAACATTGTATATATGTATGAATGAAGTGATGGCTAAAATTGTCATTTATGTCAATATAAGCACTTATGGGGAAAGTAGCTTACCAAATATCCCCACCCCAATAAGTGTTTAAAAACATAATAAGTGATTTGGAAAATGGGTTACCAAACAACCTTAAGTGGTTGTTAAAATAAGTACTTCTAAGAAGTACATGTGAAATAAGTACTTATTTTAACAAGTACTTAATCATCAAACAGGGCCTAACTCTCTCAAAAGTGTTTTATGACAATTATCGCCATCGTTAAATCTTAATGAAGACTCATGAAAAGTCATTTTTACCCTTGCGTTAACAAAGGGCACTAAGTAGTAAATTACTATTTTGACCCTATATTTAACATAACGAGCGTCTTTTGAATCGTTCCAATTGGGAATGACAACCGGCCTCTTCTCTTATCACTGGAGCGTCTTTTGAGTCATTACGACGATGAATGTACCTTTGTGTTCTCTCCACCTGCTCTCTCTCTCTCTGCCCTATTCTCTCTCTTTTTCTCTATCTCTCTCTCACCTCTCCTCTCTAGAATGGAAAAGAAACAACAACAACAACTTCGATGGATCAGAGGGAATTGCATAGGGAAATGTTCGTTTGGGATTGTCAGTCTCGCAACAATGGAGTCTGACGGTCACCTTTTCCCAGTGAAGTCCGTCAATACGAATTCATCCATCCCTTCTCAACTCAAATATTTGGAGAACGAGATTAGGACTCTCGAGTCTTTGTCTTCACCTTACGCGATGGAGTACCTCGGCAACGACCTAACACACAAGACAGCCACCACATCATACCGGAATATGCACATGGAGTACTTGCCTAGATGTCACAAGTGACTCCTTTGCCGCGCCATCAAGCACCTACCGTCGTGCCATCAGAGTGCCTACTGCGTGCCTTCATGGTGTCAACATGTGTGTCATGGGTGGGCACTGCATGTATCTTGTAAGGGGGGACCGCCAATGGCGTTATTGTAATTATATAGTATGATTTTTCATTATTTTGATGTATCTTTATGTCACTCCCCCCAAAAGCTTAACGTACTCTTTGAGGGGAGGTAGGTAATCGAGCGAATCAAGAGCATGTAAAGGTTAAGCATGAGATCCCCTCGACACTGAACCATGTGCTTATACTTGCCATCCATTAATGCAATACAAGTTGCCTTTTGTCTAATTTGTGTGCCATCTTTGTTGTCTTTTCTTGTGTTATTGCTTGTTACTTAGGCTTACTTGCCGCATTCGAGTGCCGCACGGGGCCCCAACGACTAGCCCCGTGACAGTTGGTATCAGAGCAGGAGCTCCTACACACATTGGACCCTGTCTTCACCCCTACTTCAGCACAATGAAGAGCAACTGGGACATTGCTAATGACACACCACACAGGCAGCACCAAGCCCACGACACTGATGAGGCTCCACTCGACGAACCTACCAAGACACAAGCCCCAAAGGGTTGCACAACTAAAGCTAGCAAGCGCGACAAGTCAGTCGACCAACTAGCTAGCATGGACATGTGCATCTTACGTTGTGAGGCGACAGTGGGAGAAACCCGAGATTGGGTCAATGAACTCCACCTCAACCTAGAGACTGTTGAGAATGCAGTGGTGGAACTAGAAGGATGTTTCAATGGAGCCTTCAGAGACATGCACACCACCATACAAAATTCAGGAGCGGGGCCTTCCCAAAGTAGCTTGCAGGGCTTGCTAGACAGATTTCAAGCGCAATTGGACGAGATGACTCTCCTAAAGAGGGCGATGGCCAACTCATCTAGCACCCCCTCCACCCTAGCTTCCATGAACATCAAGATTCGAGAGCCAACACCTTACTCGGGTGCTCGGGATAGTAGGGAGCTTGACAACTTCTTGTGGCAATTGGAACAATATTTCTCCGCCACTGGCATCATTGACAACCAAAGTCAGGTTCGTACAACCGCTATGTATTTGACTGATATCGCAATGTTATGGTGGCGTTGGTGTTGCCAAGACATTGAATGTGGAACTCGCACCATCGACACTTGGGGTTGGATTCAAGCGTGAGATCAAGCGTCAGTTCTACCCTGAAAATGTGGAGTACATGGCGCGCCGAAGAATGAAGAACCTTAGACATCAAGAATCACTACATGACTATGCCAAGGAATTTTCGGCCTTGATGCTTGAGATTTCCGACATGTCGGACAAGGACCTTCTGTTCAATTTCATGGACGGTCTCAAGCTATGGGCTGAGCTTGAACTTCAATGACGCGGGGTTGAGGACCTCGCCACTGCCATGGCCGTAGCTGAGCAGCTTGTTGATATGTGGATACCTGAGGAAGAAAAGCAAAAGCCATCCAGCCCACGTACCATGAGTTTGAGTGGGGGAGATCAACAATCAACCTCAACAAAGGAGAAGCTAGTGCGTACCGACAATCCCCTCAATCACCAACAAGGGAAGAAGCCACTAGGGCCACCGGTACACTAGGAAACCAACTACTCCCGCACCTTGTTACATTTTCAATGGAAAGCACTAGACTAGCGACTATCCTGTGCGGAAGAAAATCAATGCCCTCATCGCCAAACTCAGTGATGATGAAGAGAGTGATGAGGAGAAAACCACAGTGGCGCCAAGAGTAGGCGCCCTTCAACTTATCAACGCCATGGTTAAGAAAGAGGCCACATCCAAGCGGCCCACTAAAGCCCACAAGGGGCTGAATTATGTAGACACTAGGGCCACCCACAACTTCATTTCGCTTGCAGAGGCAAAGTGACTCAGCTTGACCACCACCAAACAAACAGAGTGGGTCAAGACTGTCAACTCAGGGGCCAAAGCAGTAGAGGGCATGGCTCGTGGAGTAGAACTCCAATTTGGACCATGGAAAGGACCCATCAATCTATCTGTGGTACCCTTGGATGATTTTCAGGTTGTTATTGGAGTGGAGTTCCTCACGTAGGCGGAAGCAACACTTATGCCACACATTAGCAGCTTACTTATCTTGGATGAGCACTCCCCTTGCATGGTTCTTGTATCATCAACCCTGTAGATACATGGGAAGTAGTTTTCAGCCTTGCAGTTGTACCAAGAAACAAGCAACCATGAAGCTAGCGTCGCGTCAACAAGGAAGACCCCCTGTCAATCATCTCACATCAACACTGGAACTGGTTGGGAAGTCATCACTAGGAAGAAGTCTCCCCCAAAACCATTCCATTTCCAGTGCCAACGCCAATGCCAGCCCCCGCGCCAGCACCAACATCAGCATCAGCATTAGCTTCAACACCAACAACATCAGTAGAAGCCGATTTCGCAGTAGAAGCCGCAAGCGCCTGCAATTGATGGGCCCAACAAAAGACCCAAGGCCGTGTCCAATTTTGCCCACATCTACAACCACAACCACCGGGGAAAGTGAGTGCCACCCAAGCCATTTAGGGGCCACATTCACGTCATCCCTCAGGCTAAATCCCGTAGTAGTTCCGTGAATCACCCTTGGGGAAAAATGCATGGGAACCAACACCCTAACAATCCAAAATACCATTTTGACCCTTACTTGGCCCAAACCTTCCCCATAGCCAAGCTGAATCAGCCACTAACATACCTTGAGGCTGCCAGGAAAGGACTTAGCCATAAAAAACCCCAACAGAACAAGCCAACCCAACCATGCCACCAAAATATACACCTCGGCCTTGGACGACAACCGGTTCGTGGAGCAGTAGAAGAACCTTCCTTCCGCAATAGTGACTCTAAGGGACCAGTCGAAGCCGATCTCTGAGGACGTAGATCGAATTGGGTGGGGGAGACTGTCACAAGTGACTCCTTCGCTGCGCCATCAAGCACCTATCGTCGTGCCATCAGAGTGCCTACCGCGTGCCTTCATGGTGTCAATATGTGTGTCATGGGTGGGCTTTGCATGTATCTTGTAAGGGGGGACCGCCAATGGCGTTATTGTAATTACATAGTATGATTTTTCATCATTTTAATGTATATTTATGTCACTCCCCCAAAAGCTTAACGTAT